GGAGGACATGTGGACAGTTAGTCCTCCTAAAGTCTAAGTCTATAGCAGGAGAGGAGGACATGTGGACAGTTAGTCCTCCTAAAGTCTAAGTCTATAGCAGGAGAGGAGGACATGTGGACAGTTAGTCCTCCTAAAGTCTTAGTCTATAGCAGGACAGGTGGACATGTGGACAGTTAGTCTTCCTAAAGTTTAAGTCTATAGCAGCAGAGGAGGACATGTGGACAGTTAGTCCTCCTAAAGTCTAAGTGTATAGCAGGAGAGGAGGACATGTGGACAGTTAGTCTTCCTGCAGCAGTGAGAGGAGGCGTCAGTGGGACAGTTCTAGACTCCTTTAGGTCGTATTTAGCTGAGCATACTTTTTGTGTCTCTCTTGGTGATAACATGTCTTCTTCTGCTCCTCTTTTGTATTTAGTCCCACAGGGCTCAGGTTTAGGCACCCTCCTCTTCACACTGTACCTGCTTCCTCTTGGCTTTATACTTAGAAAATTTGGGCTCTCTTTTCATTGCTATGCCGATGATACCCATATACAGTATATTTCCCACTAAAGAAAATGGACAACAGCTCTCCAAGCCCTCTGCTTTTATGTCCGGAGGAAGGATGGCTATAAATGTTTAAAAGTTTAATGAAAATAAAACTGAGGTGAGGTGCCCCTCTGCGGAATTGCCACCTTAAATTGGTTAAGGGGTTTGAGTACCCCTGTGATCCCGGGGGCTATGTTGTCTGGGGCATTAGTCCCTGGTGGGGTCTCCCATGGTAAGTGGGCCTCAGGGGAGGGGTCAGACAAAAAAGCAAATCAGAACCCTTAATGAAATGGAATAACAGTCTCAGCAGGAAACCTCACCTGGAATATTGATACTAGGGCACCTCCCTGGAGCCAGGCCTGGGGGGGGGCGGTGGGGCCAGTTATGTTTGTAGTGTTTATGGATTTATAATCGGCACAAAGTCAAGTTCATTCTTAGTGCAGCTTGGACTCCACCAGGGCTGTCCGGTGGCTCCAGTTATGTTTGTAGTGTTTATGGACAGAATCTCAAGACACAGTCCTGGAGAGGAGGGGGTCTTGTTTGGGAACCACAGGATCTCATCTCTGCTGTATGCAGACAAAGTTGATCTGTTTGCGTCTTCAGACCAAGCGTGCACAGGGGCGGTTTGCAGCTGAGTGTGACACGGCTGGGATGAAAGTCAGTTCCTTTAAGTCTGAGGACATGGATCTCAACCAGAAAAATCTGGAATTCCCCCTCCGTGTTGGGGGAGTCTCTGCCTCAAGTGGAGGAGTTATCTGGGTGTCTTGTTCACCAGTGAGGATGGAGAGGGAGATGGATTGGGGCCTTGATTGGTGCATTGCTTCAGTCGGTCATGGTGAAGAAAGAGCTGAGTCGAAAGGCAAAGCTCTGGATTTACTGGTCTGTCTTCATTCCAACCCTCGCTTGTGGTCATGAGGCGTGGATCATGACCCAAAAAATGAAATCCTGGATACCAGCGGCCGAAGCGCGCTTCCTTCATAGTTCGGCCAGGCTCAACCTTAGAGATAGGCGGAGAAGCGCCGTCATCCGGGGGAAGCTTGGAGTAGATCAACTGCTCCTCCTCATTAAAAGGAGTCAGCTGAGGTGGTTCATCTGATTAGGATGCCTCCTGGATGCCTCCCTTTAGAGGTGTTTTACATGTTCCACTGATAGGAGGCCTAGGACTCACTGGAGGGATTATGTATCCTCTCTGGCCTGGGAATGCCTCGGGGTCCCCCAGGATGAGCTGGAAAGAGTCACTGGGGAGAGGGAGGTCAGGGTTTCTCTCCTGAACCTGTTGCCTCTGCAACCTGACTACAGATAAGTTGCAGAAGACGAACATGTGTTTATTCATGTAGGTAAAATTATGTTTAACAACTGTCGAAATACAGCAGAATGCAGGAACCATCCACTTCAATCAAAACAAATATGTAATTGTCCTGGTGTGGCCATCACTGTAAAAATTGTCTGACTCCGCCACTGGCTGAGCGCCTGTAGTCTCACCTGTGGCCTCACCTGGAGGACTATTTTGTTTTTGAGTCTAGAAAGCCCAGCATTGCAAAAGTGTTTTTCCAAACTGTGGGGACTGATGTCAGGCAGGCTCTGGTGGACGAAAGGATTGACTGTTGGTCCACAACATGCTACCACTGCATGTGTCAGAGTCCCCCTGCTTTGTTGATCTAATCAAGATGTTGAAGCCCGCAGCACACTGGCAGACATGCCCTCCCTGCTCCTCTGCGCTGCAGACGCTGTTCTATTTCGTGTAAGCTCCGCCCTCTAAGGCTATCGCAGATGGGTACCCCCGTGCGCGTACGCGCATTCTGAAGAGCCAATAGTCCACGCCCACGT